TCAAGCTTGAATTACCTTGACAGAGTAGAACTTAATGTGCCTACAAAAAGAGCTGAGAGAAATGGGAATTTCTCTTAGCTGTGAAATGGGAATAATAACAGTATTTGGCCTCATAAGGTTACTGTGAGGATTGAATGATTTAAAATATATAAAGTACTAGAGCAGTGCCCGGCGCCAGGCAAGCTCTGCATGGCTATTAGCGGTGCTTGTCCTGAGCCCAGTGGGGACGGAGAAGAGCAGGGAGGGTACGGGATGGTAGGAATGACAGACTGAGATATAGGGAACCAGGCTTTTTCCGAACTCCGCATCACTTCCAAGAGAAGTAAGCAAGTGGTTTGGGAGGAGAGAAGTCTCTACAAGTAGCAAAGCACATGTCAAGACCTTTTAATTTTTCTGAAATGGTACTTTAGATTGCAAACAGGTACTCAGTGTGAAATTAGCTATTAATTTCCGGTAATAATAATAGCTCACGTTTATTGGGCTCAAACTCTGTGCCAGACACTCTCCTAATACTTAGGGCACTTAATCGTTACACCAACCCTCTGGGAAAAACACTATTAATAGCCCTATTTTACAGGTAAGACACTAGAGGTTAGTTCCTTGCCCAAGCTATTACACAACTGTTCTGTCTGACTCCAGGGCTAGCTTAGTCACTTAGCAGAGAGCAGCAAGTGCAGTCAGATTTGTGTGCAGGGAGTCCAGGCGTCTTCTCCCATCCTTCAGCTTCCCATTTGAGTCGAACACAAATCTCCTGAAACACAAATCAGGTATCTGTGATTAATTTAGGTGATCTGCCCAGGGAGGCGCCAAATTACCACTCCTCTGAAACTGACTCCAAGTAATTATACATAGAACTCTGATTTGTATTAATTAGTTCGGATCTTTAATCTTCATTTCTTTTATTAATTCTCCGGACATCATTGGTCAGTGTTACATGGCTTCCTTAGGAAACAGCTTGGGGTTGGCACAGGAGGCAGGGAAATAATTCTTACCCCCTTAAGGGCTATTAAAATGAAATTGATTTCATGCCATTGTGTCAGCTAAAGGATGTTGCTCTGTTTCTTGATGTTCTCTGCTTTTGGCTTTAATTCTGCATTGTTTAGTGTTTCAAGGCTTCAGCATGTTTTCAGCTCTTCAGTTTGTCATTTGTCAACTTTAATTGTTCCTGTTTTGATGGAATCTGACCATTACATGGCAGCTTTGCTTAACAACTGTTGATCCAGCTCTTGTTTTTAAACATAAAAATCACCAACTTACTTTTGAACCCCAGCACTTCAAAGGCAACCCCTGGGGAATTCATTGTTATGTTGAATATTAACCAATAGGGGGAGCATAACACACTATGTATTGATGTCCCGTTAGGCATCTAAACCAGCTTTTAGAGTATTAAACATACATTTCAGGAATGGACAATGTGTGACTTTATCTAGCAAAATAACCAAGTTGCCTTCCGAGTTGACTATGGAGAACTGGGTTTAATTTCAACTGATTACTGTTAAGAATGACTTTGACGACAGGGCCTACATGTTGGATATATGTCAAGAACTCTCTGGTGTCCAGACAGATATATTAAGTACACACACAGTTTATTGCCATTTGTTTTCCTTAAGAGGCATATGTAAAATAATTTTGTGTACTTTGAATGATATTTCAGATTATCTAGGAGAACTGGGAGTCTGGAGAGATCCATTGTGAATCCTTTTGTAATGATGCTCATTTGTCTTTAGTAGAAAACTGGATATAGTGAAATTGTTCTCAGGGAGGTTGGTGTACTCACAATCCTGTCATTATCATTTTTCATTAACATCTCAGTGCAAGACAATAAGGGATTGTTATGCTGAGTAACAGCATTTCTATTCAAGTGCATTTTTCAGAGGCTTGTATTTTAGTATGGCAATAGTTCAGAAGTATATTTGTTTAGTATAGATGCAGTGTGTCTATAGATAAATATATAAACCATATTTAGGAATTAACATGCTTGCAAAAACAGTTAAACTGACTTTTAAAAAAGGTTTTGAATCTTTGTCTGAATTTTGTAGGCCAGTTTCCTTTCTTGTTTCTTGAGTATCAGGTAGTAGGGACTTAACTTTATTTACCAAGTTAGGGGTCAGGTGGATCCTACTTTTATTTTTTATTTTTATTTATTTATTTTTTTGCGGTACACGGGCCTCTCACTGTTGTGGCCTCTCCCGTTGCAGAGCACAGGCTCCGGACGCGCAGGTTCAGCGGCCATGGCTCGTGGGCCCAGCCGCTCCGCGGCATGTGGGATCTTCCCGGACCGGGGCACGAACCCGTGTACCCTGCATCGGCAGGCGGACTCTGAACCACTGCGCCATCAGGGAAGCCCTATTTTATTTTTTATAATTCGTTCCCTTTTATTTATTTATTTATTTATGGCTGCGTTGGGTCTTTGTTGCGGTGCGCGGGCTTCTCACTGCGGTGGCTACTCCTGTTGAGGAGCACGGGCTCTAGAGCGCAGCCTCAGTAGTTGTGGCGCACGAGCTTAGTTGCTCCGCAGCATGTGGGATCCTCCCAGACCAGGGCTCGAACCCGTGTCCCTTGCATTGGCAGGTGGATTCCTAACCATTGCGCCACCAGGGAAGCATGTAGATCCTATTTTAAAATACCTTTCAAATTTAGTTCTTTCTTTCTAAATCTCAGCATTGCAGTTACACTTCAAAGTAGCATTTTGTTTAGAGTCTAATTTAGTTTTCCAGGGTCTCATCTAGTTTACTTATTCAGCAAACATTTATCAGGCCCCAACTCCCTAATAGGCTTAAGGTTCCTGGTGTTGGAGTTTGGCGAATTAACTATCCACTTTCAGTCCTCTGATAGCAGGAGGCCTTAAGGCTTCCTAGGGCTTAGGAAAGCTTATACACATTGACAAAATTTTTTGCTTAAAGAGAACTATTGTTCCATTCTTTTGAAGACTCAAAGGAATTAATCTTTCTTTTTTGCATGCAAACTTGATTGTATCTTGTAAAAGTCAGGTGACTCTTGTTTTTCTGAGGGCCTGCTCTGGGCCTAAGTGCCTAGGGAACTCAAATGTCCTTTGAGTACTAAGAAGGTGATCTGTGCTGACTTCTGTAGTACCTAAGTGATGACCAATTTCTTGGGATCATAAATTTGTGGAAATTCCTGACTTTACATCTTAAGCTTAACAGACAGAACCGTTAAAATTTAGAGGATGACTGCTAACAGTTAACATTGCTGTAATATTTTTCCTGGATGAATTTGCTCTGTGGTCATTTAAAATTACCCCTGTTCTTGATAATCCATTTTGAAAATGTATTTTTTTCTTCTTTCATTGCTATTGGACAAAAACTAATTATAATCGTCAGGTTCATTAGTTAATGAGGACAGTCTTCATTTTTTTCTTTTCTTTTTTTTTTACTCAACAGTTATTTTGAAAATGATTTTATCACTGTTTCAGTCTGTCCACTGGAGTGTTTTTCTTATGTTTTTCAACTTCTTTTGAAATTTTGAAACTTAAAAAATGTTAACTACTTTTTGAACTTTGTATGACTCAAGTTAGATAATGTTTTTAAGGGTCTTTAACTTAAAAGCAATCTTATATTGCCTTTAGGAACATGGATAGTTTGGAATATAAAAGAGTGAATCTAAGGCATTTGTGGCTTTGGAAGAAAATTACTGCACCACGATTCATGGCAGTAATTTCTCTGGTTCCACATCTTCAGAGTAACACTTGGAATGATAGCATTGTCTTTTTGTAGCATTTCATAAAACACAAGCTTTTGCTAATTTGTTTGGTTTCTAGTAAAGCAGAAATAAATCAACGCAGCTTGGAAGTGCCTTACAAAAAAGGATTTGGGTCCGTTTCCTGGTCTCTGTCCACTTCTAGATTTCTTTTATATCTTTTGAAATAGCACATTTGTTTGTTAACTGACATTGAGATTTATTTTCTCTGCAAAGTTTTAAGATTTAGCACAGATTTCTGAGCATTCTTCCTTCTCTTAGGGAGAAATTTTTATTTCTCAACCAAGATATGTGCAGTATTTAATGTCTGAAGCAACATTCATAAAATTTCTGTGTTGAGGCCCCTCTTATTTGGACCTTATTTTACTTGTTTTATTCTTCAGTTTTCCAGGCCAAACAGCAAGACTTAATAGGCTGACAAGTAGGGGTATAAGGGATGGAGACCATATTTAAAATTGAGATTATCCCTGAAGGTCTGAAACATGGGCTCCAGAAGCACACCCTTAGGCTATCCTGATATCTCCTGTTTAAGATAATTATAAGGAAAAAAAGATTAAAGTCTGTTGTTAGTGCTGGT